TTCCAGATTACTCTTCCAGGCATAACACGCATGGTTTACAAATGCAGACCAAGAGGTTTTCAGAGGAAAGGCAAAAAGTGACATTTTTATTACTGGTCAGAACCAGCTGCCCTGTTTTGAACAAATGCTATGAATTACACATTGCTCTCTGGTAACAAGACATCACTAACTCACACAACAAGCTCATACCCATTTCCTTGCCTCCTGTCCAGTGTGGCAAGAGGTGGATGGAGAGCAGAGGTTCTTGGCCAACAACCAGGTATGCACTGCCCTGCTATCACCCTGGATAATTTCAGAAAACCCCTCAGATAACATCTACTTAACAAACCACTTCCACTCTGGTTCTCTTCTCTCCAGTTATTTGTTTGGTTTTGCTCAGCTCAAACTGATTAAAAAATTAGTGTTTATCACTGAAGCACAGTGTAACTCCTTAGTGCATCAGAGGAACACTGGACACAAAAATGTCAATGGAGTATTCCTAATCACTGGAGAAAGCTAATGCCACAACAATGAGCTTCAAAAACTTGATTTTAAAAAGTTTCTAAGAGCCCTCATCAATAAAACTGAGCCCATTACAAACCTGATAAATTAATGCACTGGATAAAGACAGAAATAAAGCTAAATACTGCAGGATCGGTATTTAGCTTAAAAATTTACTGCTTAAAAATTATGCTGGGCATCAATGCATTTGCTTTTGTTTTCTCTCTACCTGGTGTAACTTTGATACATTTTTTGCTGCACGTTGCACTTTTTTTTCATTTACCATATAAGAGACAAGACAAATAGAACAATATTGAAAGCAAAACTTCTCTCTGTCTCCTTGAAAATTAGAACAGTATAAAACCAAAAAAGTTGATATTAAATACAAGGTGACAGTAAGAGCCTGCCCTGCCTGTATTTCAGACCAGAGGAGGAACTCTGGCTGCATATAATGCATCTTGATAATAAGAACATGTGAAAGAAGCTGTTAATTAGAGCAACAACTGGGTCACTTAGAATTTCACATCAAGGAAGCTAATCACACCATTTACCATTAGACCTCATTGGTATTCACAGGAACATTTATAAAGCCTCCCAACACTAGAGTTTTAAATTGCTCTCTGCCCACCTTGGAGAGCTCATCTGGACCAAAATTCTTCTCTTCTGTAGCACAACTCATGGAGCTCATTTTAAACAGTTAGACTGAATTAATCATACAAAATAATAAATGATGAGTTGAAGGTTGGGTAAAGCTCTGTAAGCTTTAAGTTAGCCTGTCCTTAGCTATGATAAGAAAGTATCACCCCAGATTCAAGTCAGAGCAGCAAGGAAGGTTCAGTGGGAGCAGCACACAGACTTCTGAGCTGGCACTGCCCTTATTTATAGCTTGATGTTCTCCAAATAATCTCTGCTTAGGGCTCAGATCCCAATTTTCTTCACAGCCTTAAATAACCTGCACCACGTGTGTTTCAAAGTCTGTTTTTCAGACTGGAATACAAGCAGAAAAGCACTTTTAAATGATTCGGAGCAAGCTGTGAGCTCTGTGCCTTTACAGGTCATTTCTAATACATCAGGATGCCAAGCACACACAGGCACTCATGAGCAGCAAGGGGCAACAGGAGAGCCAGAGAGGAGGAGAGGCTGTGGCTGTCCAAAAAGAGATTTATAAACAGGACTGGATAACACAAAACACAATGGAGGGGAGCAAAGAGCATCATAATTTTCCTTAAAGGAAACACTGATGAAGTGCAGCGTGTGTAGGGAGGTGGGGAGAGCAATACTGATCAGTCAATTTGCTTTTAAAAACACACTTTTTTTTTATTTTTTAGTATAACTTGATTTAAGTGACACCAGATTAGAAAGCAAAAGGACATTAAGAAACACGAAAATAATTATTATTCAAGGCAGGACATTTTAATGAAAATCACTGCCAAGGAAAAGGAAAACTTGAAAAATGGCAGTGATGCTTTATTTTTTAAAATCAAATGGAAATGCACCAAAGTTAGGTTATTTTTCCAAATAGAATATAAAGACCACAACCAGCCTTGATAGAGATAAAATTCCCATAGTTTTTTTTATAATTTCTCATTTAAATCATTCAAGTAAAGACATTAATATTTACCTGGGGATTGTACCAGGTTGGCAGGGCAAATAAGTTACACACTTGTGGTTGTTGTGAAGTTCGAATATTGAGTAGGAAAGGGTTAAAATGCACAGCCTTCCTTAATTATTAGGGTTATCATTCATTATCAATCAAATGTATAATAGTCAGAGGCTCTAATATGAATTAGTTTCATGACTCTAAATGCTTTATTGCAGAATAGTGACATGCTGCTTTGCATTTAGAATTTACAAGGCAGTGAAACAGATAAGAGGTGAGAAATTTCTAAGGAAATTGTTTTAGTCAGACTTGGATATTTCTTTCTATAGCCACACAATTCATGCCTTAAGTTTTGCCTTTCATATTTTCCAGATTATGCACTGCCTTAATGTGGGACTCTGAACTTCTCACGGTGTTAGCAAGTTCTCCTCACAGCTCAGTCAGACAGAACAATCCTTTCCCAGGCCCAGAACCAAGGACACCACTTGAGGAGAGCAGTCTGGGAGGGTGGGACTGCATAACTCCAAGATGTAACTGGACAATGAACCCCAACATGGAAATGGAGCAAAACTTACACAAGTGTGAAAACTCAGAGTCCATCTTGGGTGTAGCCCTGGCTGGGGCCTTGCACTGCCCAAGATGTATCCTGTGAAGTCTTCAATAAATCCCTACTTTATTCCTTTAACTCTGTCTACCCTCTCTTCTAGGTAGCCTCACAAGGCATCATAATCACTAATTACTCATTTACAGTATTATGCTTTTTATAAGCCTTGCTTTTGAAACTTTTTGTATGGCTTTAGACTAAGGAATTACTAGAGAACCATAAAAGAAGAGTGGCAGACACTTTCATCTTAGACTTAGCAAGGAAGTGGGAGATATTCTATATTTTTTTTATTGTATTATTAGATGACCTAACAATAATCTGGTTGAATTGGTTTAACAAATAGCAGGATGTAGGAATTAGGTTGTTTTAATCCTGTTTCCTTGTTCTATTTCAATTCTTTCAGCTGGGATGAAGCACCACTTTTTGTGAAGGGACTGCCTCACATCCATGTACTCATGGCAGGTCACAAACCCCAAAAGAAAATACTGCAAGCCTGCAAAACCTGATTCAGGCCATGAAACATTTCTTAAACAGCACTGCTCTGTTAGGGAGCCAACCTAAAAGTGGCAGAACGGTCAAGTGACATCCTCATAGAGCTCAAAGTGCAACATGTCCACACACAGTACATTTAAATTTCAGTGTCACAGCAGATAAGCTGTGAAAGCCATGGGGGATCTCTGAGACAGGAGCAGAATTTACACCAGAAACTGTGTTTAGTGCAACAGGAACATCAGAGGAGTTGTGGAAGAAGATGTAGCTAAATTTAGTAGGCTACAGACATGGCTTTGTCTTCAGGTGTCACATTTTGCTATGGCACAGAGGCATCCCAAGCACTGAGCTCATTGTTAGACATAAATGTGTAATACTGGAATAGAAAGACACATGAAAGTTTCACTGCACCACCTCTTATCCACTGCTTTGAAAAAGCACACAGATTTACTAGAAGAAAGAGCTCGTTGCCTCCTCAAGATATATTTTAAAACAATATTTTCCTTCATTCAAGGCAGAAAATGAAAACAATAAAAAGAAATGAACACTTTCTTTGTTCTCAAGGCACTGCTACCTCTTGGAAAGCTTGTCCTTCAGGTACTATTGCAATATTTTAGCTCTGACAGCTGCTCTGTTGAGACATGAGTGCTGATAAAACAAAGCTTTGTCACTCCAGCTCCAGTACAATGCAATGCAGTCACATGGCAGCCAGGAAAGAATTGAGGACAATATGTGATGCATTGTTCTTGCATAACTTGTTTACCAAAAATCCCATTCCAAGTGTGCTGAGGACCAGCTGAAGCATCTAGATATGTTGATGGAGTTAATCAAAAAATGGCAGGATGAGCAAGAACACTGCACAATGTACTTTAAGACAAGTATATTCTTTATACTTGCTAGTCATGCAGGCACTGCTGATGCTTAGTAAACAGCAAACAGACAAATAAAAAGCTGCTTTTTCTATTTCCAAATTTTTTTTTGTTGTATAGATTTTGTTTGTATAGAACTTAACCTTCCTTCAGGCCTGCCTCTCCCTCCCTACTTGCATGTGGGATTTTAGGTAAATACTCAACATGTGCCATCAATAAATGCAGGTCTATTAAGCAACACTCAGATGACCAAAAAGCTTTTGGTTGGTTGGGTTTTTGTGGTTTTGTTTTTTTTTCTTTTAGTTAATGAAGGCTCTTCTACTTTCCCAAACAAATACTAGAATGAATCAAGAAATATTGCAATGGAAAAGCATCTTCAGGGATCTGTAGCATTTAAAGGCAGCAGAAACTAAAAGCTGTTTAACACAGTGACTCTAACACAGAAAAAGGGGAAAATGCAGGGGTCAGCAGCCTGGGCTCAGGAATTCCTTCCCCTTCCAGATGGTACCAAACCAACAGACACTGAAATAACAGCTCCTCACAGCCCTGCCACTGGCTCCTCTCTGAAATTACACAATGTAAAATCACAGGATAATCTCTTCTTGCTGGAAACCACCTCTGAGTGGAGCAAATCTGGGCAGCTCAGTGACCTTGGGCACTGCTGGAGCTGCACAGGAGGAGCTCACTCAGTGTCAGGGGTCCCACAAAAAGGCAAAGATTTTACTCAAGATTTTTGCTGCCAAATCTCACCACATTACACAAAAAAAAAAAAAAAAACACCACCACTCCATCTATCTATCTAGCTCCTTTACACTGAAAGATGTAGAATATTTACCAACAAGCAACAAATGAACTAAATATGTCCTTCTTAAATTAAGTAATTCATCTGTCAATAGCACAGACTAAATTCTGCTTATGTTTTAAAGAAACAGAACATTTTGCAAATCATTGCACTTACCCTTAGCTGTTCTCTTTCACAACTCATCTGTTGTTTTGAACTCTATAAGGGAAGAAACAAAAAAAGCCAAAATAACTTTGAAAGCATAACATTCTTGCCACAACAAAGCTGCTAATCTATCTGTCTCACACATATAAATATTGGAAATGCAGCCATTTATCTAAAGATACTATTGTCCTGTGCATCCACACAGAACCATTATTACAAAAATGATATTTTTAAAACTTATATTTTAAATGAAATTAACACCAGAACTCACAACAAAACTGAGGTAAAAAAGAATCTTGTTTAGATTTTAAACGCCTGACTGGCAGTCCAGTTCAGGAAGAAGCTTTCCTCCTGTTTGTATTCTATCACAAGTCTGTTGTATTTGTGAATATTCCTCTGCTTCTATATGTGATAAATTCACAGCACAGCTCAGGAATAAAGATATAGAACCTTCAAATAAGTGGTAAAACACTTTCCCATGAAAACATCCAGCTCTAATCCAGAGTGTAAAAGTCACTCTGAAGATTATTTGAGTCCACAGCATATATTGTTTTTCCATGCTGCTGTTTGTGCTCTGCCAGATTTGCAAGGAACGGCTCAGAGTGTGAGCGCTGCTGGCTGGGCAGGACCTCACTGCTGTGACAGCAGACAGGGGACAGTGACAGCACAGCTTGGGACACCCCCACTCTGCCAGAATAAAAGGGCTCCTCCAGGGAGAGCTCTGGAACAAAAAATACCCTGAAATATCCATTCCCAGCCTGTTTCCCAGCTCCCAGGTGTGTAACTCAGCCATGCACCAGCACCTCTAGAACCAAACTTTCAAAGCTTTGCCCAGGAAGGCACTCTGGTTTTGATCTGTCCATGTGGACAGAGGGGTTTTGTGTCTGGTTGGGTTTGGCTTTGGTTTCCTTAAAAATTAGTTTTAGAATAGTTTTAGACTCATTAGGGGGCATTAGCCTTGAAATTGTCATCACTGACATTTTCATTAATTAGCCTTGAAAGTGTCATCACTGTCAGTTCTGTCATTAGTGTAGATGGCAAACAATCCATAAAACACGAAATTGGATGCAGTGTTTTTGAGGATATCTTCAAAGGTTTGGGATACACTTATCACTACTTTGTACATAGTTAAAACACCAACTAATACCCATTTGTATAAGATATTTTTACTCTCTAGTGATAATGAAAATGGCAACTTCTCAGTCAAAGTTAGGTTACTACAAACAAAATAAAACTGCCTGCTTTTCAGCACAGAAGGAGTCCTAAAAAGTACATTACAGGCTTAACCTTCTACTTGTACTGCAGAATTTTACAAGAGTCTCTGTATGAAAACATAAGCCTGACAGAAACAAATGCTCTTTGAAGTTCCCAGCAGGGAGTAACAAGTACAGGAATTCAGCATAAGTCTAATTACAATTCCCCTAAGGAGTCAAATCAAGTACAGCTGAAGTGACTGCCACTTGCAGACTAACAATTCCACTTTTCTAAGTTCATGACTTCACACCATTTATGAGTCACTTTAAGGTTATATTAGTCCACATTGTAAGTGTGCTTGCATAAGTCTCAAGAGTTCATTTCAAATGTGAATTCCACATGAACCTCTTTACTTTGATTAAATATAAATAGAAAGGAATATTTCAGTTGGAAGGGACCTGCAGTGATCACCTGGTCAAAGTTAGAAATGAGTTTGGTGGTTTTGTTCAGGGTCTTTTTTCATTATTTATGTTTTCTCTTTTAGGAGATTTTAACCTCTGATGGTGGGATGGAGGGAGGCAATGCAAGAAAGGTGAAATTTCTAAGGTAACAAGAAAAAGTGTACCAAATACTCAGAGAAGAACAAATATAGTTATTGACTATTTAAGCAGATAGTTTATTTTGTTTTAGTTAGCAGCTATTTGCTACTGTAATTTGAAACATAAAATACCTAACATCTCAGATATCAGAAAAAACGTATTTAAGATGAGAAAGAAGTGTTTATGAACAGTAGGCCAATACAACAGACAGGCAAAGAATAAGTGAATAAGAAGATGATCACATCTTAACATCCAACTACTCTTCCATATCTGGCAGCACAACCAACAGAAGAAAACCATCAATTCACTTTAAACCAACGGCTTTCATATGGATGAGTGAGAACACTATATTAAATTATTATTTGATTCAACCACCTGCATGATGCTCACTTTACTCTGCAAGGTAAAAAACAACCGGGGGGTGGGACGCACCAATTCCTTTGGTTCAAAGTTGAGCAAATGGTAGTTTCCAAACTGTGTTTTATCTACAACACAAAAATCCATTTCAGAGCTGGCTTCCCTCAAAGTGAACATCCACCCAGACAGCTCCCTCATCACCCTTCATCTTAGGAACTTTCCAGAAAAAAAAGCATCAAGGCTTAGTGATAAGGCATTATTAGGATGAGATTAAAGGTGGAAAAAACAAACAAACAAAATTTACCTTAATGAAACCAACAAAAAAAATTTTCATAGTTTAAACACAGATGCCATCTGCCTGTCTGGCCCTCTATTTGTCAGATCAAGTTTATTAAAATACATCTGGGAAAGGCTCATTTGAACACGAGCAGCTCTCTGAGTATTTCACCAGTGCCAAATTTGCTCTCTCATTTTGTCTTTTTGTTATCTGTGCCAGTTTAAGAGAAACATCCTGGCAGTACTGAGCACTTAAGGGAAAACATAAATAATGCATTTACAATATGTAAACCTGTACAGATAAATGAGAAAAACTGAAAGCCATAACATATTTAATTAATGATCAAGAGAGCCTAGAAGCAAACCTTGTGCACATCCTGCAATTTTAAATACATTGCTTCTCAATCCTAAATTTACTTTGTTAGGGCTTTGGATTCAACCATATGCAATTAACTGTTTCTTTATTTTAGCATAAGACTGGTCAGTATATTGAGTGTCAATGTGTCAAGCTCTCACATATTATGAGTTTAGTGGAAGAATGCCTAAAAGATTCGTTCACTTTAAAAGATTTTATCAAAGAAAAATTTTGAAAAACTACAGGCTCCTTTATGGGACTAAAATTTATAGCAGTTTTAAAGACACTTGTGCTGTCAGGCTCCATCATTTTAGACCAAAACAGACCCTTTGGAAATACTGTGCAACCTGCTGGTGTCAATCCCCAGTGAGTTCAGGACTAGAATTGGGAAATCTGTTTTGGTTTCATTAAGTAACAGAAACAGGTAGGAGACTGAATACCTGTTAAATATATTTATCATTTATCCACTCTTCATACAGACACACAGGTCCTGGCCATGAGGAAAATGGAACCCATGAATGGACAGATTGAGAGAACAACAGCATTGCTGCAGGTGTTCAGGAATACCAACATCCACCTGGGAAGAGTTTTTTGCTGTCAAATTTGTGAAGTGTCATTTTAAAGAAAGGCTTGGGTGATTGGGGAAAGGGAACAATAGGAGGGTAATAAGGTTATTTACAGCAAGTATCTGCTTAAATGTTAAAGAACATTTCTGTAGCCGTTCAACATTGCCAAGTATTGGTTTTACATTTTCAAATTCAAAATGTTTTCAGGACTGAGGTTATTTGAAACAGCACAGTCCACTGGCTGAAAAAATAATAGGTGAACATCTAACGTCCTTTGTCTTCTAGATATTTTACCATAACTAAACCCTGGTTAATCAAAGGCCCCCTGATATTGCTGCCTTTCTGTCTACACCTCAAAAAGGACAGTCCAGGTATGATTACTAGAATTTGAAGAATATACTTGTTTTTATTATTACAGTCAGTGCCTACACAGGAACTGGAGCTTGAGATTCAGGTGAGCAAGAGCAGAGTCACAGAGCCTTTACCAGGAGCCACCACCCAGCTGGAGACTGCTCACCCTCTGATTGAGAAATCATCTCTCCTCACTCATACACAGATTAACCAGCTGAAATCAAACCACAGATTGTCCTCTCGCAGTTGTGTTTCACCAGGCACTGTGAGACAGTCCACACCATTTCAAACTATCTGCGAAATCCATCTGCCAGTGCTTTCTCTCATTAGACACTCATCTGACTGGAAAAGTCAAAAAATTAAATGCTTGGGTTTGTTCCTTGCCATGTTACACAAAAAGGCTGTGCTACACAAGGACACACCATGCACTGCTGTATTCCATTTGGAAACAGCCTCTTTTTATTACTTATTAGTGTTCATTATCTCATTGCCCCACAGTATTCAAGAGAAATAATACTCCAAGTTATTTAATACGTGGGAAAAGCACGGGCGTGTATATAAATGTATAAATAATATTGTGTATTAATCTAAAACTGCCTCTCAGTACTACATGTGAAACCCCAAAACACAAGTGAAGAAAACTTCCATCCCAAGAGCTCACAAAGCCGCAAAGTAGAGCCCAAGGAGCTCGAACACAGAGGACTCATTAAAAATACCAGTAATTGCATAAATATACAGGATGAAATGAACGGGAAATGGGGATTTCAGAGCCTTTGGTAGTCACTTACGGCAACATCTAGAAGCTTTCAAACATAACATCAGTATTTCTTCCTCAAGGAGTAACTGGGATTACCCTTTTCCACTACAAGGTGCCTAAATTTTCACGGACACATCTCCTGAATGCCTCCAAATGTTGAGGACAGCCTAACGAGGTGACAACGTGCTGACCACCCACAGACTTTGTGTTCCATTGTGTTTCTAACACAAAGGGGTACAGAATGTGTATGTCTATGCATATGCAAATCCTCACCAGAACAGAGAGCTTCGGGTTTCTCTTGGCTAGGTATGTGCGTTTGCATGCACAGAATTTTAATTTCCTGGGGTTTTATTACCACCATCAGTTACTGTGCTCCAGCAGAGGCTGGAGGGACTGATTTATTCTCCAGTGCCCTTGGCTGGGTATTGTATATCGACTGGTGCTGCTGTCATAAATATATTTGGGTGAAGAACTGTCTCCCATTCCGTGGGTAATACTAAGCAGAGTTAAGGTTTCAAGTGTCACATACAAGTGGGTTTATTTCTACTGGAAGAAACAGGCAATTATTATGGCCCATTGAGCTCAGATTAAGCATTTCCATCAAAAAAAAAAAGAAAGAGCCTAGTGCTACAATCCTTGTAAAGCTGTAAATGCAAATGGGGACCATCTCATCATCCATAAAAAATAATCTATAGTTTTATAGGCTTTTCTCTCTCTCCTTTTCTTTTTGCCCTCAAATCAGCAACATATTCCAAACAGGATCATTTTATTGAGACAAGGAAAAGTAGAAATTCTCCAAAAATCAAAGAGAAACACTTGTAAAGATTTTTACATTAAAACAGTTTGTAGGCAATTATTTCCTTTTGCAAAATGGCTCCTTTTAACCAACTGAGAAGCCTTAAAGTCCAATTTTCACCTTTTCTTAGCTGCAGGATAAAATATGTTTCTTCATCAAGATTTTTTATATTGCTTGAACATCACGGTTACCTAAAATTGGGAG